GCGTGCGAGTGGACGGAGCAGGCGCTCGTGGTCGTGGTGAACCATGGGCGCAGTCGGAGCAGAGAGTCGGGGCGTAGGAGATGAGGAGAACGGCGTAGGCTTCATGATGGAAGGAGATACGGCGGCGGACAAGGAGGAGGTCGGGGGTTACACGGAGGTACAGGTGGATGTCAGCAACCTGCCCCCTACGACATCGATGGTGAGCACCCAATATGTGAGCACCACGCGCAGATGTTCCTCTTAACTTGCGACCTTTCCCTGCTGCCTTAATTTCCCCCTACAACTCAGTCAGGTCTCAAGCTACTCCCTAATTTTTGTAATTTGCATTATGTATATTCTGAATTCTTGTTTGATTATAATGAAAGAAGTGGCATAGGATCTGCAATTGTGTTGGGGTAAAGTTTAGTGATATTGGTGTTTCTTTTCAAGATTCTCTTTTTTTGGCAGTACAAACTTCTCAAGCAAAGACGTGTGATCCATTTATTTGAGTTGTAGGTTGTAATCTATCTATTTGATCTATTTAGTAATATTTCACGTCGACTGATTGTAGGTACTTTGACGTTAGAAGGGATGCTTGCCCCTTTGGCGGATGATGTTTTTACAAGGTATACATGATCTCGTTTCAGATTCAAATCTATCATCACATATATTTCTTATATAATGTGTGAATTCTCAACTGAAACTTGACCGGTGCCTAGAGTGATATTTTGCCTGCTGTTACCTTCTCATACTTAATGTGCAGCAGTAGTTCTGAATGAAGCCTAATTAAAATACTAAAGGTCAGTAAAAACATAACTGCTGATGATAATCCATGCAAATAATTCGTTAAGAGTAGGTGATGATAAGCACCTCTAAGTAATATTGTAAGTTTTCTGCAATCAGTGCTAGCTTAGGTGATGTGGAACGTTAAGAGTAGCTGATTGGTATGTTCATCAAAGCCATGCTTTGTAAAATAGGGACTATCAGATGGCCTTGGAATATAACCATTGTAATTTGACTCATGTAATGAGCTGTGCAAAATAACATATATGGTGGTTATCTTCTCCTTTCTTTCAGTATTCAATTGTCTATTTTCCTACGCTCTTTGCTTCTTCGGTTTGACTCGTGCAGTACTGTATGTTCTCCAGCATGCCTACACCGATGGGCATTTGGAGGAGCCGGCAACGGTGGCAGTGCTTCATTTTCATGCCGACAATGGAAGTATGGACCAGCAAGAAATATCGAGTTGGTACTCTCTATTAGTCTTCTCTATATAATGTATAACCTCTGCTTGCTTCTCATAGACGATTCTGATGTATAAACCTCTGCTTACTCTCCGATAGAAAATTCCGTTCGAACATGCAGATTGGCATACTTGCTGAGAAGGTTACAACTGTAGGTAAGGCATCAAACTATATGTCTCAAATTAAGGTTTGTTTTTGGTTGGATGCAATTCTTTCAATAACATTCTTCTATAAATAAACTGAGGTTGCAATTATCTGACCATGTATTTTTGAATTGTGTTTTCCATTGAACATTCAAAACATCCAGAAGGAAGCAGTTGAGAAGAGAAGCACTTAGGGGATGATGTCGATCTTGCACATTCAGCTTTATGTATGTAGTCTCACTCTCATCTTATTTAATTTACTTATATCATTTGAATAAAGAAATATAGCCTCTTAGGATCTAAATCAGCAATTGTAAAATTGATCGATACTTGTGCTCGCTCACAGCAGATGTTAATTTTTTTTATTT